ATGCGAGACGCATCGGGCTGAGGGACGATATTAGTTTACAGATTAGATAGTTTTCCTGAAACTTGAAAATGTAATCGACGTTTGATGATGAATAAAATTTGTGATTTATTTATGAGTAAAGTGTTACTATCATTGTCAATTATTACTATTGTTTCAGTTTTGCATGTTGACTTCCAGAATAATTAATTTATTCAAACCTCCACAATCGATCATACGTCGGAAGTAGGTATGAATCAAGATTGTCATGAATTGGTTTGTAGATGCTTAAAGGTGTTTAGACATGGCAATGGTTGCTGCAACATTCATGAGTACTCATAAGTTATGAGTATGGTATAAACCCACGCTCACTTGTATCACTTCATGGAATTTATCTCGAGTGATCGTGAGACGATAACATCATATAAATCTTTAAACCTAGAGATATACCTATGAGTTGGTTGTGCATTGATTGCACGTAAACGCATCAGTAACTTGATGTTATAAAACGTGCCTTTGTGTACAATTCAATAAGTAGTAGAACAAGCATATCAGTCGAAGTTTATCTGTTCCTTCTAGAAATAGAAGCGATATCTGGGCCCCTCGATGATTTTGTGTTGACCCATGTACCAGGCCTGGTCAGAACTAAACCGATGTGTTCAGTGAAGTTCTTCGTCAAACAAATCGGAAATCGAGAAACAACTGCTAGACAATAAGCAAGACATAGTTCCATGTGTTTGTCCGGCTGATATCATGAGAACAGAGGATTATGTGATCACTTATCTAAAATGGCGCTTCATAGTTCGACAGAGTCTTCATTGTTCAGGAGTTTTCGAGAGCTACGATTGCTGGTTGGTTCCTGAAGTTATAGGCAAATACAGTTATTAGACTTATCCAAGTGGAGTCTGTTGGATAAGGTGTCTAAGTCCATAACTTATTTGGTATATACTTGACCCGACCGGCATGGTCCATTTGGGTTGCATCTCATCCAAACTATTATGGATAATTTTATGAGAGTTATACACATATGTTTATTAATATATTATGGTTATAATATATTAATATGAAGTTACGTTATTTAATTAGTTTTAGTCTTAAATTAATTATGAATTAATTTAGAGATTAAAAGGAATACTAATTAAATTATGGGCTATTTGTTTTATATAGTGTGGGCTAATACTCATTTGTTAATGGCTAGGCTTATGTGGAAGTCCATGGATGATCCATGGAGCTTTTAACCCATGGATCCTTGGAAAGGAAAAGACATGGGTTATTAGGGTTTCACCCTAACCATGCACACTATATAAGCATGCTTATGGAGCATGAAATGGAACCTAAGAGAAAACTAATGCACTAGTGTGTGTGTGTGCATGTGTGTGGCCGATTTTATACAAGGTGTATACTCTCTCAAAGTTTTCCAAGAGTTTGTGGTGTTTGTGATTCCATTTGAGGCATTCACACTATTGGTGCTTGGCCCTCAAACTCCTTAGAACCAAACTCACCAAAAGGTATGTAATCTCTTCTAACTCTTTTATGTTGAAATGTTCCCCATGCCATGTTAGATAGGTTATAAACCTTGGAAAATTATTATTTTGCATGTATTTAGACAAACATAGATCCAAGGTTTATTAGGGTTGCATGCACACGTAGGAAGTGTTAGATTGCTCAAAACCCAATAGTTACGACCTAAGAAAATCCCATATTTTCTTATATGTAAGTTTAGTTATCTGTTATGTTACACGGTTGTGGTTATGTTCATTTGTTATCCCAGGAAAATCCCATATTTTCCTAAAAGTTGGCTACCGATCTAAAATGTAATGTGAAAGATGTATACTGAAAACTTGGTTATCCTTGTGAAGTGTATGTTAGTTTACCAACCTGAAATGTAATGTAAAAGATGTATACTGAAATGTATTAGTTTTGACACGTATATAAAACTAATAAATACAAAGTAAACTAGTTACTAAACCATTTATTGCTAAAAAGTAAATCTCTGTTATCCAAATTGCGAGTTCCATAACCATACGATAGACTAATTATGGCAATAAGTATTCCATCACCCTTTATGACTTTCGTCGCCCTTGAACCTTTTGGTTCGGCTGTAGCTAGCAGCCAGGTGCGGGGTAGTAAGCCCCGTATAGATCTATACACTCAAGTCACGCTCCCTATCTAAGAGATTCTGGTTACATGGGCGGTCCTCCACGCGCGTATCTCTGTGGAGTGTTCTCCGAGGACGTGTCTCCAATTTATAGGAATAACAATTATACACTCCAACACGAGAAAACACTTCAATCAAGTGTTTGGAGTGACCCGGGTGACATCTACAGACGTGTAGGACTTTGGAAAATGTGTTTACTCTTCAAGAGTAAACTCCCTATGGAGTTTTCGGCCCTAAGACCAACTCCACATGAGTTCACGGTCGTGAACTCATGGATGTGGGGTTTTATGGTGCTAAATGGTCAAATAACACTTGGGAAGGGTTGCTATGATTTAATCTAAGGCATAGGAATGAGTTAAACCACCAAAGGGACCATCAAAGGGAGTTTACGGCCCTAAACTAGGATTTTATGGCCATAAGCTCCTATATACCCATTCCTTTTATGATTTGGTGGCCCTAGATCAATCACATGTGATTCAAACCAATTTTACAAGCCTTAGAATGAATTTAGGGCATCATTTGGCTAATGTAAATGAGTTTACGACCCAGGAACCCATTCTAGGGGGTTTACTGTTGTGAACTCTCAAAGGGATGGTTTTCATCATGTTTAAGGCCCCTAAATCGATTGTGGTTGATTCTAGAATTTAATCTAAGGCTATTGGTGTGTTTAAGTGGCTTTTAAACACTCAAATATGAGTTTACTCTCCATGAAGGTGAGTTTACGGCCCAAGCATGTTCTTGGGCAGTAAACTCATGTTTACTCCGCAAAAATTTGATTCAAGGTGTTCTAAGTCCAGTCCATTAAGCCATTTAGCCATATCTAAGCTCCAAAAGTGGATTGGAAGGGTTTAAAGGCTCAAAAACCCATTATATGTGTGTTTACGGCCCAAGCATGTTCCAGGGCCGTAAACACATGAAAATGGTCCTAAATCATAGTTTAAACTCGGATTTGGAAGCTAGAAAGGTTGTACAACAAGTTAGGGAGGTTACGTTGATGAAATGGAGCTTAAATTTGATGATTTTGGACTTGAAACTTGGATTGGAGGAGAGAGGTTAGAGAGAGAGAGTAGTGAGAGAGAGCAAAAGCTTCAAATGGAAGCTTAAACCACTTTAAATATGTTCCAAGTTTGGGACACGGTGGAATTCTACCCGATACCAACATTATACGATGCTTTTGGTCGCACCCGATTAAGTTGTTGTAACCCGATATGGTCGATTCTAAAATGTTTCCGATTACTAATATGGAGTGTTAATATGAGTTCTAAACACGTTTGGACACCCATTAAGTCATAATAGAAATCCCACATTTATGACTTAATTTAATGACGTAACGGAAACCAAATTGAAAATGACGAATAGATTAACGAAAAGGGTTACAAATGATGGAACGAACTTCGGGTTGTCACAATATGTGACACGGAAACTAAAATTGAGATCGGTAGATTGTTAGGAAAAACAATCTAAACGATAGTTGAAGATATCTTCAATACCTATCCGTCGATATAAAGATAGTTGAGAATAGATGTCGTATGAAAAAGTTATGATTTTTTATACGGACTTTAACAGTTTAAGTCTGTTAAAAATAGAGCTTTAAAAATAAAGTGAAAATTATCCAACAGAGTCTAAATGAAAGTTCCAGATCTTGTCGATAGCTACGTGTGGATATAAAAACATCAAAAACGGAGCTCGTATGAACAAA